TTCCAATTTTTTTGTTCATAATTAACTATTGTAGATTTTTGTGAACACAATTTTTAAACATTAGAAACAACGTTCCTCCTATATGATATTTCTATCATAATAATTGTTATATTCATTATTATTTAGTTTTTAATTGCCATGAGGTTACATACAGATGAATTCAATTTGTAATCTTTTAACATAAGTTTTTATAAATTTTCTTTTTTACTCCTTATTGGATTTGTTTATGGTGCCAATCCCCCTTCCCTTTTTTATCTTAGCTACAATGATTGATTRTTGTGTACACAATTTTTAAACATTAGAAACAACGTTCCCTCTCATTAATATTATTATGATAAATCATAATATGTTCTTAATCTTATATAATTTTTAATTAAATTGATATCACGAGATATATAGTGTTACCTTAAATAGTTAAATGGGATCACACTGTTTATAGTTTTATATAAACATAATGAATTAATTTTTTTGTTTTTGATAGAACTACATTATCTGGTATTCTGACCTAACATTATCTGGTATCCTAATAATTCTCATTGAATTTTTATTATTTAATAAATAAATTTAAATATTATMATTTATTTTGTACAGACCTTTTATGTTCAGGAAGTTAGGACTTGTTTTTACGCGAATCAATTGAAAACTGAAAGGCGGGATCTTATAATTATGGTTTTGATGTGTATAAATGCATCTTGTTTACACAAACATTATCAATTGTCATATAAAAAGTATATAGCAGGTTGCAGGTACACATAGAAAATGATAACTTAAAATATACGCAAATATGCAATACGTATTTTGATTACAAGATAACATAAGTTTTATATTTAGGTATAATAGGTATATGTAATATCAATTTAGGATATTGAAATACATTATATAAGTAAGTAATAGGTATTATTATATTATAAATAATTTGTATGAAGTAAAAGTAAATATTTATCTAATACCTACCTATAATGCAATAAACTCCAATCATACAGTTACGTGTAAATATTTAAAACATTACGGCTACTTTTACCGTATGAATTTATTATGATTTCGTGAATACGCGATCCGTCATAGACGAAGATTCCAAAATGAATGAACATTGCTCACGAGGCCCAAAGAAGCATAATCGTTGGCCGTTGGCCGGCCGCCGCCGCCTGCGTGAATGAGCGTGGTTAAAACGTTGCATGCTGACGATCGCAAAACACAGTTGTACACAGTGGCGTAAATTGACTTCAATTTCTGGTGGTGCAAAGAAATATTTTATTTTCGGTACCTAACCACCAATACTCTAAATTCCTTTGGAAATTCATGCCGTGAAATTGTTTACCTATCTATAGTAATCTAGTGTCCTAATTGTACCTAGAAATTATATAGT